AAACGGTAGTGGTGTTAGCGTTTGAGCACTGGTCTTTCCGAAATTTCGAAAAGCTGGGATGATGAATCAAGGTACAAAGTAACCGTTTTATCAATTATTGGAAAATCAAGAGAAAAAAAAGAAGAATTTCCCTTCCCGCTACATTAAGATCAATATGTACCACCACCGAAATTTGGCTTTGATTTAAAAAAATAAACCATAATTTTCAGTAATACTGACTTCAAAAATTATGATACAAAAATAATTACATTCATACCACAAACCAACGCCGTTTTTGTTTACTTTTCACAACTGTTACAAAGTATTTCATTTCTGGTGGTTAAAATACCAGCTGATTGATCGTAGACCACAAGTCTTGAGTCTGTTTATGATCTAAACGAAGGCAGACGATTGCAAACAACTGCTGTCATGGCAAACGTTGCACGTCGTGAATGATTTTTTTTTCACTGCATGCAAATTATTTTCCTTGATGCACTCAACAAAGTCAAAGCAGACGTACAACATTCGTTGCAGAACGCGTGAAAAGTACTTCGCGTTCTACTCGCTTTGAAGTTGCCGCCTATGCTAATGAGCATAGTTGTTGGGACGAAGCCTTAAAACTCCAAGATGGCGATAACGTAACACCGTATTAAATAGGCAGTCAAAACCAACGTGCACGTTACACTATTTAAATTTTCTAGCCAACGGTGTGATGTGTCTAAAAACCGTAAACCATGTGTCATTTGTTTGGTCCCACAATTTGTCTTCCAGGGCTTCCATGTGCTTGCCGATCACCGAACAGTGCGGCATGTCGCCGGTACATAGTGTTCACACACTTTTTTTACCGTACCTTTTTTACCATTTAAAACTTAATTTTTTATAAGGCCTGCGGTGAACATCGACCATTGGGATTCGCGCTGTTCGACCAACCAGCCAATAGGAATCGTACTCTTCGCAGAGTGACACTGCGATCCTGTCGCAGAGTGCAATAATCGACATTCGGCGAGTCGCACAATTATCCTTATATTGACATGGGGACAATTTATTGCAACATAGTGTTCACACACTTTTTTAACGTACCTTTTTACCATTTAAAACTTAATTTTTTATAAGGCCTGCGGTGAACATCTACCATTGGGATTCGCGCTGTTCGACCAACCAGCCAATAGGAATCGTACTCTTCGAAGAGTGACACTGCGATAATGTCGCAGAGTGCAATAATCGACATTCGGCGAGTCGCACAATTATCCTTATATTGACCTGGGGACAATTTATTGCAACTTGGATAAATTCTGGGTATTTTCATTTATGAGTAGGCTTCTACCTTGATACCTACACAATATCTACTTCACAAAGCTGAGATGATAGATTACCCCCCCCCACTCCACCGGTCTTCACTCCACCGCCTTGCTCGAGTCAAGAGTAGGACACAGAAAGATGGCGATCGAATTTATAAGACAACAAATGTGTAATTATATGGTTTGAAATATATACTTACTTTTGCATGCACAGTTCCCATACTAGCGGAGGCACATACGATAAAACAACTGTTTATTTTTTAACCAGTCGACTGAGGAAAGACGTGTGACCGGTACATTGACCTCGTAACCCCAAAAGTCTGGTTATAGGTTGTTTCTAAACTCCAATGATGAGCCCTAAACAAACTTGTTCATATACTTTCTGAACTGTGTGACAGGAATTTGTTTAAAGTTTCTCATTTTATTGCGTAATGGTGTCAAGACGAAACGAAAATGTTTTGTTTTGTTTTTGTTTTTTTAGTTTATAGGTATCTCGTAAAAAATGGGAGCCGTTTGCGAACGATGAACTTTCAACTTCGACTTTCTACACATGTGTCACTGCATCAACAGAGGTGGCGCTGTACTGTGGTTGCGCCGCCATCTTATTGTGAATGAAACATGTGTTTGATATGCTCGCCTGAGAAAGTTCTAGGCTGTTCTTGAACGCGTGTCCTAATAACAAAACCATGTTATGAGACATATGATAGCCACCCATCTCGCGTCTGTACAACCAAAGGGTAGTACTAGTAACTTGTAGTCAACAGTTAGCTCCAAACCACGTCCGTGACCATGGCTTCTAGTGGAAGTGGAGACGATCGCCATCCAACTGAAGGGAGCGGCGCTGATCCTAAGAAACTACAAGACGTTCTAAAACTTGCCATAGAGAACACTCCAAGTAATACAGCCGCTGCTTCAGACCAAAGGGATCTATCAGAAGAAGTATGCTAATTTTACTCTTAATTCATTCTTTTAGCATCCAATAGCTGTTCTGTCTAATCTTTTTTTTTATCTCTTGTTTTTTACCTTAAAAATATGTCAAATATTGATTCCAACCTACTGATGGTTTGGTAACATCATATGTATTCTGAAATGCCTACCAAGTAGGATATAAAATAACAGAAACATTGTTTTTATTGTGTTACACTCTAGAGACAGCAATGGCTGCATAATGCTTTATCTGACATGTACCGAGATGAAGTTAAAGAAATGCAACAGTATTTATCAATTATGAAAGAGAAGATTGAAAGTGATGGTGACGAAGAATTAGAACAAATGGAAATTATGTTGGAAAATATCCAGGATATCTGTGAATCAATGGATAATGCACGAGGTGTGTCAGGTTTGCATTAGTGACCTGGTGTACGACTCTTTATTATACTATTGCCCAGCTTCATCGTGCTATGAGGAGTGCGCCCTCATATAAGGGCAGTAATGTCCTTTATCATATACCTTGTATTGCTTGGCCTGGTAACACGATGGAAAGCATGCGCTCATATCAGGGCAATAATTTCCCGTATCATGCCTGACCCAGCGCGCCCTGCTTTCATCAATCAAAAGAAAAATTTGTATGTTTGAGATCGTGCTGTGGTAAAATTGTGGCACCTATACCTTATATGATAAAAACCTTCATGGACTGGGTATGGCTTTTGCAACCCAAAGTCAAGTGGTGAGAGCGCTCAAGCCTGCACCGTATCCAGTCTACAAAGATTAGGATGTCACACATCCTGGTAGTTCAATAAGAATTTTCTCGATAAAATGCATGAAAAAACAATTTAATTAAAAATATGGCAAACAAATGTATAAGAGTGTTAGTTACTTGAGAGCAGAAAACAATAAATAGTAGTATATTTGAAAAAAAATCTCAATTTACTACACTGCAGAGTGAGTGTAGGGTATAAAATTTAAAAAAAAATTTTCATAGTGCCAAGATGTGAGATTCTGTTATTAGGGACTTGTGTTTTGACCTCCGTGTGCGTGCGTGCGTGCGTGTGTGTGTGTGTGTGTGTGTGCGTGCATGTGTGTGTGCATGCATGTGTGTGTGCGTCTGGACCTGTATCTTAGAAATGCCTGGACCAATCACAATCAAACTTCACACATACATCATACATGATATTATACATATGCACGTCATTTTGTTTCACGATCTGATTCAAGATGACCGAATGACGGCCATTTTTGGGCTAAAAAATCCTAAAAATCAACCATTTCTCGGCTGTTTACAGATGGATTTTGTTCAAACTTGGTATATACATTAGACATTATGGGACCTTGATGCAAATAATTTTTCAGATAAGATTCAAAATGGCCGAATGGCGGCCATTTTGTATTGATGAATGTGGTTCTCGTGCCATATCTCGGACTTGCTTTCACTGATTATGTTCAAATTTTAAATATTCATTATACATCATGTCATAGATAGACAAATATATTGGTTTGACGATCCTATTCAAAATGGCCAAATGGTGGCCTTTTTTGTGCTAAACAATCATCAAATATCAAGCATTTCTGGAATTTATGGGTGGATTTTGTACGGGTTCCTGATGCTCGTCATTTTATTTTTCAGATTGGATTCAAAATGACTGACTGGCGGCCATTTTGTTTTAATGATTGGGGTTCTAGAGCCATATCTCTTAAATGCTTTAATTTATTATATTTAAATTTTATATATTCTTTATACATCATGTTATATATATACCTGTATTCAAAATGGCTAATTTTGAATGCTCTTCCAGAGCAATATCTCTCAATATGGACAAGGACTTGTTTGATGATCAGATACAAATGTCGATCATTTTAATGTTAAAAAATCATATTCCTGACATGGTTATATTCCAGCTATAATACTATAAACAAAACTATACATCTTAAATTTTATAACTAACGGGGACTGTGCCATGCATGGCTTGTTAGAATGGAATGTTATTGGGTGGCATGCAAATGACAGATAAAAATTGTTCAAATAACACGCAACTGGTAGAGATTAGCGAAAAACGTAAAAATCGTCATGGAAATAAACATCTATTTGACACTCAGTGAAGGGAGAAAAAAAAAATTTGCATCTCTTAACTTGGCTATGCATTTATTTTTGTTCACAGATTTTGATAAAATTGGTGGTCTTCCAACTCTAAAGCAATGTCTTGTTCATTCGCACAGTGGCGTACGATGGCGAGCGGCTGCTTTAGTAGCTACAATGGCACAGAATAATCCATACTGCCAACAAGTACTATTAGAAGGAGAGTTTCTATCGGTGTTGTTGGAAATGTTAGACTCAGATGCAAATGATACTGTAAAAGTAAAGGCTATTTATGCTGTCTCGTGTAAGTTTGAGTCATGAACAAAGTGTGTCACATTTTAAAAAATGTTTCATTCTGGACAGTCATACTGTAAAACATGTTTAAAAAGTGACATGCAATTTCAGTGAATTGTGGTAAAATGATTCCGCTCATTCATTGGTATTCATTTCTGTAAACTCCAGGATGGATGAAATGATTATGTAATCAAAAATCAATGTATATCTCTTCATTGTTTCCTCTCATTTCAGGGCAGGCTCATCAAATAATCTTTGCAGAATTGATGAGATATTGTTTAAGTATGGTTTATTTCAGGATCATCATCATCATTGTAATCATTTTATCTTCTAGGTATGGTTCGAAATTGCAGTAATGCACTAGATGACTTCACTAAGAAAGATGGTTTCTCTGTTTTAATACGAGCATTGCAAAGTGGCATCGAGAAATTACAAATTAAGGCAGCGTTTATGTTGAATGCCATTATATTAGAAAAGGAAACAATAAAAGGTATGTTCATTTCACAAAATAGTGACGTTTCATATTATTATAATGATTTCGGTCAGTATATTTATTTTCATTATACATTATTATGCTAAAAACAGCATTGTAAATGTTATTCAAACAAAATTTAAGCAAACATTGAAACAAAAATAGGCATACCGAGTACTTCATACAAATACAAAAACAAGACTGTTTGTTTACAGTTGCATGACTTTTTTTGGAATCGGTTTGGTGAGTTCATAAAAACAGCATTCATGGCAAGTCCTTAGCGAATGAATGGTTAAATTCTAGTGTGTTGTGTTAATGAAAATATCATGTCTTGTTTATTTCCTCATTGCAGATGATTTGTACAGTATGGGTTATGTACAGCAGCTCGTAGGTCTATTGCAAACGTCACACAATGCTTCCCATGAACATATTATTTCTATATTGTGTAACCTTGTCACTGGACACCCAAGATGCTTACAAGAATGTCAACAACCAGGTCTTAATCTAGAACAAACCCTCAAACTTAAAATTGAAGATGTCCAAGGAAAGGAGGAATACTTGGTAAGTGATTTTATTTACTACAGTTTACATTAGAGAGGGTAAAATATTAGTCAATTGCAAAATAATTGGTTTGGGAAGTAGAAACAAACATTGCATTTTACATCATTGCACGACATTCACTACACCCATTCTTTTGGAACAAATGAGAACCAAAAATTCACCATTTCTCATATGTGTAATGTATCTCAAGTAGAAGCGGCGTCCCTTCTTCTATAAGTCGCAGCTTCTAATACAGATTTTACAGTAATTTCCTAAGAATGCAAATAATGTATTCTCATTTGCTTTTTTTTCAGGAGGAATTAGAATATACAAAACAGTTGCTATCACTGTGTTTTCCTACGGAAATTGACAACTCAGCGTCAACTGACAGATAGGATCTTGCATCGAATATCATCACAAGAAACAAGTCGCAATTGTATATACATGTATTTCAAATGCGAGGGAGAACTTATTGTTTGGTGTACAATATATTCAGTCTTGTATCATGTCAATAATAAATTGAAAGGCATATATTGTACTGAGCATTCCTTTAATTGCTGTAAACTGTTTCTAATACATTTTCACTGTGGTTAGTGTATAGTTATTCAGACTACTAACGCGTGAATGGTCTGCCACTTTTCGTTTGATCTGTGATGGCGCTGTTTATTCTCAGTGAGGCACATTTTAGGTCCATGACTGAAACTATTGAATAGCTCAGTAAATTTTACTTGCTGAATCATAAATTGCTATGTGCATCGATTCGTCACATAGCTGTACCTGAATGTAGAATTATTGCATCAAAAATCATGTTGCAATTGTATGGCTTGTACTACCAGTGTCTCAGTTCTTTTATTTTTAAATCTGTCAATTCTGTTAAAAACTGTCGTAGCATAAAATCTGGCAATATTCAGATTTTTTAAAGTTGAAATAAAAATTTGCATATGATGATGATTACATCTGTCTGATGTTTTATTTATATGTGAAGGGTTTCAGAAATCTACAATATCCTAAAAATTGATACTACAGCCACATTTGAGTAGATATTTTATTATTGTAATGGCAAGGAAAGGCATGTGCCAAATAATGGGTAAGTTGGAGTCTAGCATATTACCTAGTTACCGGTAATTAACATTCCCGTCCTTGCCATTATTAAAACAATAAGGACCCCCCCCCACAGTGTCATTATTTGATGAGCAGAGGGGAAATATAGCAAGATGAAGCCAAACAGACTGCGTTTCGACCATGTTTCAAATCTGATATAATGCTGTCAATCACCATCATTAGAATTTTAAAAAAAGGAGTTACCGGTAAATTTGGGGGCTTTTTGTTGAAATGAATTTACTTAATATGAATAGAGATCTACATTATCGTGTAACAATGTCGTTATTACATCATAAAAACTTGAATTCTGAGAGTATTGCTTTATGTCATAATAATGGGCAGTGCAGAGTTGTTTATTTCAATTATAATATATTGCTGAACAATTGAATATATGTTGAGTGATACCTTGAGAAGAAGTGTGGTTAGCGCATTGTGGTCGCGTATTCCAGTTGCACATAGAAGTTCACAAGCAAAGGACATGTGCACATAGGTAAATTTCCATATAAAATGACCAGGATTTCTTAACCTGAATAAATAATGGTGGATTTGTTTAAAATATCCTTATAACTGAGGAAACATTGAATTTTGATGAGTTGCATAAACACACACACAATTTTGAGAATATGTTATCGATCAGGCTGTTCCAGGGAGACAATGTTAAAATTAATGATTTTCGTTAAAAAAATCAACAAGTATTTGTTACTAAATACAAGATAAAGTATGCCAATCAGCTTTAAAATAAAGTCCTGTGCATAATACCTGGTCTGGATTAGAGTGCTATTTCAGGGCTGTTGGTAATCCTACATACAGAGATCTACCATATGCTTTGTTGATAGTAAAAGACATTTCCTCTCACAGAACCAGTCTTTTGTAAGTATGTTGTTAATTTCCTGGGTACATCTCCAGTTTTGTATAACATAATTTCATGTACGTGGTATGTGTTACCAAGATATCAAGTTTTCAGAAATGTATCATCAACATTGATGACATCTAAATGCTTGTAAAGGAAATGATACAATAGTTAAATCATGAATACTGAATGAATGCTATTTGTTGTATCATTAGAACATATGCTTATTAGGAGAATGCAATTTCACCATCCATACTGTAATCTAAATATATTATATTTTGGTTACATGTAGTGACCTCCTCTTCAACTAGGACCATACTGTAAAGTATGTTAATTTCTCTGGAGGATGAATCAGTAAAAATAAGTCAGTGAAAATATCCTTTTTCCTATATTTTACACTCATCAAAAATAAATACAAAATAGCCAAAAGGTCTCATTAGAAAATGAATTCCAGCTAAAACAATTATTTTACAGTATTACTTGTCTTGATGCAAATAAGATGAAATTATTAGTTTCCATGGTTACATTGTTTTCTTTTAACCACTTCCTTCTTAGATATAAACAGTATTTACAAACATAAATTATGAATACAACTGAAGTCACAGAGTTGCAAAAATATATTCATATTTTGAAAGATAAACAAGGCTGCAGTGACGACTATGATGAGAAAATGAAAGATTACGCTCTCAAAAACATTAACAATCTGTGTGAATCTCCTGAATATGCTAAAGGTACGTTAAAATAGGGGTTTCATCAAGTTATGAGTAACTTTTAATAATAGTTTCCTCTGTATGGTATTAAATCTAACATTTCATTGCAGGGAAATATCTCAAATGACTGTCAACAACATGTCTGAATCACAGAACAATTCCTGACAAGTTTCACCTATGTTGCTACCTTAATTTCTCACACTATTTATTATTCCTAGGCACTATTTATGATAGCTAAGATCTGTTTTGGACCTGTTATAAATTTAAAGGGTATTGAGCACTTCATGGTGCATATATTTAGGAAGATTATGCTACACATGCTTTTTTTAAATGC